AACCTATGGTTGGAAACAATTGGTGATATGGCTCAAAACCGTTCTCAGTGGCGCAGATGCATCCACTCCTTGTGACTTATGATCTCCAATGAAACTGTTTTGTTCTTCTTTATTACTCCTCCTATGTCTCACACCTCTGCTCACTGTTTCTATTATGCTTTTCTTGTACTTTCTTCTCTTGCTTCGCGTGCTACACGGAATGTGGCGACTTGAACTTCCGCACATTTGTGCAAAGTTCTATGTCGAAAACAGACAGACAGACATTATTATTATTCCCTTGGGTTTCGAATCGAATATACGGCTTCAACAAAACATCTCCACTTTTTTCTATTCATCACTGCTGTCCTCTTCAGCTGGGTCCACTACTGACCAGAATCTCTCATTTCCTCTTCGTCACACAATCTCCTCTATGTCACCTTCGCACCAATAACCCACTCGGCTCTTCCCATTAGGGTTCCACTTGAGTACTGTTCTGGCGCGTAATTTCATTCGACGTCCTCAACGCATGCTCGATCCCTATCCACTTTATCCTACAACATATTTGTTCAGCAATTGACTCTTGGTTAGTTTGTTCAACTGCCGAGTTTCTTATTGCTTATTCTTTATGACTGGCCGGCCGGCCATTCGATCTTCAGTATGGAGACACCTGTTGATTAAGGTCTGTCTGGCATAGCCTGTCGGGAATGCTCTTTGTGACGTGTGGGCATTGCACGTTTGTTACCTTTAGAGAAGTGACTGACTGACTGACTGACTGACTCACTGATTCAACATTGGTGTTGAAAATCTTGTTCTTAATTCTGAGCTAGTGCATAAGACTTCTAAACCAGTTTCAGGTTGATAAAGGTGTGGCTTGCATTTCCGCTTACGGCTAGCTTTGACATCTGCATCCGTACTGTCGTCTGTGGTTGAAAAGATGTCGCCTAGTTGGTCAGATAAATGAAAGAAAGTGACCTGTTTCAAATTTCTCTTGTTGATGGTAATTGGTGCTGTTGGTTGGTTGGTCGGTAATCTTCATTGCCTCCGTCTTCTCCATGTTCACCTGGAGCTCTGTCCTCCCTGCCTAACAGCCTCTTCTACCCGTTTGTTGGTTTTCGCCTACCTACAAGTCTTCTAGTTTGGATGACATTAAACATACATCATACACACATGAAATCCAGATGTTCTAGTTTCTTCTTGTTAGTCAGTTCAACGTATTACTGTCTTTTTTCTTCCTGTGCACAGTCTGATGCGTAATCCAGTTCACTAAAATTCAGAATATCATCGTTGATGATAATGGGCAAACAGCCTTGTCTTACTCCTGTATTCACTTCGAATGCCTCATTGAGTTTTCTGTTGGGAATCACCTGACACGTGGCATCGGCGTATGGCTGTTGAACACATTATACATCTATATAAATATATGTTTCAAGTGAAATATAGGCCTTTAACAGAACCTCTCCACTCCACCCTGTTCTCTGTAGTCCACTTCAGCTGGCTCTCATTTCTTCCACACACACAATCTCCTTCATATCACCCACAGATCCCATTCGGGTTGAACTGAACACCCTGATTGGGCATGTGATGTCAATCAAACTTCTTCTTGGACGATAACTCATTTATCTCCAGTTCCTCTGGCATATTTAGAGTTCAACGGGTTGTTCGTTAGTTTCCATTATGGGTAAATTTTGTTTTGATAAAGTCTCACAGTGTTATACAGTAATGCTTACTGATGACGTTTCGAGCACAATTTATTGCCACTCGTAATCATATTAAGGTACTACTTACACAACTTTCTAACTTCATTGATATAGTTCCATTATTTTTCACTTGATTTGATTGGTAATAGTATTTTCCATATTTCAGGCATGAGTGACGAATCATTCCTATTGCATGTGTTTAGTGTAGACTCGATGAACCAGGCAGGATTCAGTAATCAACCTTTCTCTCCACCTTCCTACCTAGATTACATTTTAGAATTTTAACCCTTTCCCACCCACTCGATTGTGTGGTTGTGTGTTAATGCATGCAGTGCGATTGCTGAACTTTTTTCTAAATTACTTATCTTCTCGGGTGGGGTCAACCCTAGCTAAATTCTTATGTTCCGATAATCTGATTACCCCCGACCTACTAGTTTGACCTATGTAGTTGACCTCACTCACAGTCATTGGAGGATATTTTGTAAATTAGATTACTTTGCCTAATTGGGTCAACTGACAGGGTCCTTTAACCTACAGAGCTTGTCCTACCTGAGTGAGTTTGTAGGTTTAAATGCCAGCACCCTAATTCCTGCTTTATAGAGAATCCTACTAAGTAGGGTCTCAGATGTCCCTTATACTATGCCTTATATTCCCTCTTATTTATGTTATCATTATTAGTTTCACCATTATTTTTATTTTGCTTCTGACCTTTTTTTGATCTTCTCGATGAATTTTATTAGATAGTTATTCAGCACCAACGCCTCCTCTCTCTGTTTCATTTTATCATTTAGGTTTTCTGTTGTACTGTTTAGTGTTATGATTGCTCGGTTTGTTAAACACATAACTAAGCCTGCCTTCACAAATGGATAACGGATGAGATGAATTAAAGTCCAAAAATCTCGCCAAATTAGTAGATCAGGAGTAGTCAGATTATCGGAACATAACAATTTAACTAAGGTGGGAATGGTTGACCCCATCCGAGAAGATAAGTAATTTAGAAAAAAGCTCAGCAATTGCACTGCATGGATGCATGGATGCATTAACACACAACCACACAATCGAGTGAGTGGGAGAGGGTTAAAATCCTAAAATGTAATCTAGGTAGGTAGGTGGAGAGAGAGGTTGATTACTGAATCCTGCCTGGTTCATTGAGTCTACACCCAACACATGCAATAGAAAGGATTCACCACTCATACCCGAAATATGGAAACTATTACTACCAATCAAATCAAGTGAAGAATAATAGAACTATATAAATGAAGTTAGGAAGTTGTGTGATTACCTTGATATGATTACGAGTGGCAATAAATTGTGCTTGAAACGTTGTCATCAGCAAACATTATTGTATAACATGCTGTGAGACTTTATCAAAACAAAATTTACCCATAATGGAGTTACACTCTATTACAGAGCACAAGTTTTATTCTTATATCAATGTTCCTTGGTTTGTCGTCAGCTAGACTTCCTTTCTACTTATCCAGTCTGGACATTCATCTGATTTTAACTATTATGCGAAGGCAGCAGTTGATGAAGGTCTACATCCAGTCGGAAATACTCCTTGCGGTGTACGCATCAAGTCTCTAACTCATATAGAGAAGTTGTAATTTCGCATTAATGTTGAAAATACAAATTTTGTTCCAGGATTTCATCATGAGCTGACATCAGTTAGATAACCATTGGAAAACCTGGGAGTACTAGACAGCTGTTTCGTCCTAGTGTGGGACTCTTCATCAGTACTCACCCACCGGGATCCGAACCCAGGACCTTCCGGTTACAAGGCGAGCTTGTATACCATTAAGCCACTGGGACCCGATCCAATGGTCCTTGAATTCTAACTTCTGCCAATTCACGACAATCCTGGTGGGTGCATACTACTGAAGAGTCCCAAACTAGGGCGAAACAGCTGTCCACTACTCCCAGGATTTCCAATGGTCCTCTAACTAATGTCAGCTCATGCTGAAATCCTGAAGCCAATCAAATCCCTACAAACCGACACTTAAATACCAATGAGATGCTCACTGGCGACTGGCCCTATTCAGATAGGTTGTTACCTGGGTTCCAGTGGGAAGTCGTGACCAGCAGGGTGCAGCATGTCGGTTGTGAGGACAAATACTCGCCGAAGACATTGGTTAGTATTCGCGCTATGTCGTGAATTGGCAGAAGTTAGAATTCAAGGACCATTGGATCGGGTCCCAGTGGCTTAATGGTATACGAGCTCGCCTCGTAACCGGAAGGTCCTGGGTTCGGATCCCGGTGGGTGAGTACTGCTGAAGAGTCCCACACTAGGACGAAACAGCTGTCAAGGCCTCCCAGGTTTTCCAATGGTTCTCTAACTGATGTCAGCTCATGATGAAATCCTGAAATAAATATCTGTGTTGTTTTTCCAGTCCTGACTGGCTTTAACATCCTTATCAGGATCACCTGCAGTTGAGGAAACAATGCTTCACAACTAAGTGGAAGAAGTTTGCTAGCCAGCCCTGTTTCTTGTGTGTTGAAGTTTCCGTAGCACAACCCTGCCCTTTTACCTGGGCTTGAAACTGGCTAAAAAACTAGAGAGTCAGCAAACTAGGCGAGGAGATGAACGTGGACCCAGCTGAAGAGGACAGCACCAGATAGAACAAAGTAAAGATATATTGTTTAAGCCTTATGTTCTACTCGGAAATCAAGGAAATAATAATAATGATAGCTGGTCGTAAACCCGGAACAACAAGAGGGAAGTTTAGATGTGGGGCTAGAGACCTTCTACGGGGAAATCGATTCAATTCCTACAGTAACTCCAAAGTAGAGCATCTATAGATATGCGTAAACTACTTTACTTTCCTGATGGAACCAAGGACTTCCGGCTTGGAGTCTCAGTAGTCGTGTTTTTTTACATTATCATCTTACATTTGACAAGAGCGGGCGAATCGTATGTCAAACATTCGAAGACCTCCCTTTTCTACCTAACGCGTCACAGCTTTATTTACTCCTATGAACCACCACCTGGAGTCAAGTAAGCAGATCACTGTTTTTATTCCTTTACGTTCCCAGTGGATCATAGAGGGCTTCAAGCTGGAGGCAGCTTGAAGTTTAGGCAGTAGTGGTGTTTATTTTTATGGGATGGGGTTGATAGCTAGCCTGACGCCCAACCTTGCCTCCTTACCAGTCTTAATGCTGGCTTAGCAAGGTAAAGGAGTACGTCGGTGGCCAGCGGTCGAACTCCGGACTACATGAGGCGTGGTTGGCGAGCATTCTACCACTGTGCCACCGACACACAAGCATATCACATAAATAGTAAAAAGTTTATACCATAAAAAAAAATATAAAATCTATGCACCAACTTACATGGATATGTAGCTCTTGTCAACATTTCTTGTAATGATGTTAAATTTTGTTCTTTAGGTGCATGTAGAACAACCAGTGTTGATCCCAACAGACAAATACAACAACCAATTCCACTGATACAGTTTAAATGTTCATTTAAATAACGCACACTCAGTAGTGTACTGACAAGTACAGACAGAGCACCCAATGGTGTGACAAGAATAGCTGGAGCAAATGCATAAGCAACAAAATTAGCAAATTCTCCAATTCCCATTAGAATAAAACCCATCCACCACATCCATTCACGTAGATAAGTTAATGAACCATCACCTAGAAAGAATAGATAAATTAAAAAAATAATAGAAAATTGTCACCATTGAGTATACCAAAAACAACTAAAGTTCCAAATGGAATATCGGCGTTTCAACAGCACAACACTATTTCAATCTATTCTCAACAATATTTTCATCCCTCTTCATAGGATCAGCTCTATTTCAGTGTAGGACCTATACCCAACTCATCGCTTCATATTCGAGTTCTATTCAACTGCCTTTAATTCCTAGAGGAGTGTAGGGTTTCAGCCACACGTCTCCATTGCGTTCGGTTCTCTGCCAACATTTTCCTCACCTGGCTCCACGTCTGCCCACATGCCTTCCTCTTCTCCTCTTCGCATGACCTCCTCAAGATCAACCCCGAACTGGCGACCAACTAACCCACCACTTCCCATTCGGTTTCCACCCGAACAATGGCCTGGCGTATGATGTAACCTAATTGATGGTTCGGTTTCTCAGAGTATGGCCAATACTTACTTACTTTACTTTACTTCGGCTATCTCCTACGGGAGGATGAGCCGGCTTCATGAACCATGAAGTTTCATGGGAATTGGGTACGAGTGATGTCCCCAGCATCGCTCGGCCTTTTGTTTGAGGGTGCAGCTCTAGCCTTTACACAACTAAGTGTGACCTACAAGGCAGTAGGAGTGGAGTAGGGAGTCCACTACCCATTGGGAGCCGGTGACCAGAGTCCGGTTCATACGCCTTTTTGAATGGGGCCAGTCATCCAGGGCATCCAATAAGCCCTTTGTCCATACGTCTGCTGGTGAGCTCCGGTGAGCTTCATACGCCAGTTGTTGGAGGTTTGGAATCAGGGTTTAGCCATCTCCCCTAGACTGTCATCCAATGGACAGTCAACCCGGTGAAGAGCGCCGAGCATCCGCTTTTGCCCTCTCACTTCGGTGAAAAAAAAACACCTCCGCCACGTGAAGGCAGTGAGTAGGACTTCCTCAGGAGAGGCTATGTAAGACGCCCAGTCATATGGGAGAATTTCAAGAGGTGTACGGAGGGGTGGCCAATCCGCAGCGCAAAACACCCACCCCCGACCATCCTGAGGCTTTGGAGGCCAATCCACCTGCGTTTCTGCCTGCATATTCGTTGCACAAGTGGTTCCTGCTGGTTTGGTTCGCTCATCGAAAGGGATCCCTGTTGCTGATCTTTTCTGACCGGCTATCTGATCTTGAGTAGTATTGAGTGAAGACAGCTGTCAATGAAGGTCTGTATTTTGTTCGAAGTGCCCTTCGTGACGCCGTGATCCCTATAGTAGCACTGACTTCACATTGGAGTTGAAAATCCGCATCTTAGTTTTCATGCTGAGTACTGTTAACCTCAACACAAACATGAGAGAAATGAAGGCTTCCCCTGCTTTCCCTATCCTCGCTGTTCTGATATCTTCATCAGTACCATCCGCCTGTATTTGAAACGATACTTCCCAGATTGACCATTGAGAGTGGAAGACATGAAAAGATTAGCTGTCTTTCATCATAGATGCCTGTGCTCTATCTCCCGTGTGAAGTGGTATAATAAGGTGAGCAATATTGAGGTTAGGCCTCGGTCGACTCCTAGGTAGGGAGGGGAAATCAATCGACGAGACTGTAAACTTACACCGACTGAGATGGTTACGACATGTGTTACGCATGCATGCCTAGTCATCGCCTTCCTTGACGAGCAATGTTAACCGAAATAGAGTCAGGCTGAAAAAGAGCTATCGGCGGTCAAACAAAAACATGGCACCAGTCAATCGAATCCACAACAGTTAGTTTAAGCCAGCCACTTAGGAAGGTGTAAACTTCCTGACTGGTTGGGATCCTCGGGACGGTAAAAACCAATGGTTGGAAACAATTGGTGATATGGCTCAAAGTGATCGTTATCAATTGCTGGCGCAGATGCATCCACTCCTTGTGACTTATGATTTCCAATGAAACTATATTGTTCTTCGATATTACTATTCCTTTGTCGCACACCTTTGTTTACTGTCTCTATTATGCTTTTCTTCTACTTTCTTTTCTCGCTTTGTGTGCTAGAAGGAGGGAGTGTGGCGACTTGAACTTCCGCACATCGGTGGTAAGTTCCATGTCGAAAACAGACAGACAGACAAAGGAGATTGCTTCTCTCAGATTTCTCCTATTTATGCTGATTGTTGTCTGTTGTTGTTGCGGTACATCATCACTTGAGGTAACTACTGAAAAAAACCAGAGGGAATCGAAGAGCTGTTTCATTTTAGCTTAAGAATTTCTGTCAGTGCAAACATCAGTCAGTGGTTCCAGTGATAGAGAACCTCGCCAACCACAATGCTGGTTCGGGCTCAATAGAACTTCGAACAAAAGTGTACCACTTCCAGTTACCACACTTCATGTAGAACACAAAGGCAGACAAATGACCAAGAGAGAAAGAGGGAAAAGTGACTCAAAAGAACAATAATAAGAAATGTGAGGAGGAGAGAATAGTACCATGGAAAAACACGATGGTTTAGTGGATATACAAGACCAAAGAGAGTGAATGGATCTGCTCCATTGAAAACGATTTTGAGCCACATCACCGATAGCACGAAGTCACTGATTCTTAGAATCCTGAGGACCCTAGCCACGTAGTCTACACCGCCCCCCCCCCTTTATGTCTAGAACTGACTGTCGGAGCCTTCATCGGCTCATTCCAGGTTTTGATGTGACCATTACACTAACTTTTTTCCAACCTAATCCTAAGCCAGCTAAAATTGGTCATCATGGAAGGTGATGAATACGCATGAGCAACACATGTCCTAGCCATATCAATCGGTGTAACTTCCATAAACTCATAGTTTGACCTTCCTTCCTTCACTAACACTCTACACCTAACCTCAGTATTAATCATCATATCACGTCGATTAACACGGGAGACAGAAGCCAATCACGTATGATAGAAGATAGCTAACCTTTTTTGATGTGTGATATATATCCATATAATATGTGTGTTTGTTGACATGTCTGCTATATTTTGCTATGTATATATGGATCGATACTCCATTATAATTAGCCAATCATGTTAAGACTGTTTATTGATTTGTTCATTTTGAATATTCGCTCACACACTTGTGTTCACACACTTGTTCGGACATTCTTATATTTTTGCTCTCACACTCTTGTGTGACATTGATTTTCCTTGTTTGGAAAATACAAGCATCATCGTGAACCTGGTGGTTTTCTGATTTCCACTTTCTTGCGTCAGGACTATTAAATTCTCGACCAGTACATAACAATGTGGTTGGGTTCTATGAGCTGGATAGTTGTTTTGCGAAGCTCTCATCACCCTACTAGGCGATATCTTCAGCGCATAGTTCAATTCGAATTGAAGTGAGCTTTTAGATTTCTCCACGAGTTTATTAATCATCTCTCCCGGTGACCTGATTTTGAACGTGATTGGTTGTTTTTGTGTGTTTTCACATAACCTCTAGGCTACTTGTATTGGAACTGATTGTTTCTTTGACTTGAACTTTGATCCTTTGTGTCTTAGGAGGTTCCTTTCTTATCGGTTGACAAATTTCGTCTTTTTCGATGTGTCTATTATTAATTGACGATTCACTGAAATATCAGGCTGGCTTCTAAAAATTCTCTAGCATTCTTGTTGTTTCCTCTGTCTAATATTTGAACGTTGGTTGTTCCAGTCGAATTGATGTCCGTGGTTGTCTGTATGTAGTGATATGAGGGTGATGGAGTGGATGTCATGTCTTTTGACGGCTAGCTTATGTTCATGGATATGATGACGAAGGAGACTTCCACTTTGGCCAGTGTAGTGTTCTTCGCAGTTGTTACAATTTATTTTGTAGATGATGTTCGTTTTATCGTCTTTCGCTGTTGAGTCTTTTGTTTGACATAGGAATGAGTGAAGTAACTCTGTTGGTTTGTGTACGTCAATTCCTACAAACAGACAACCACGGACATCAATTCGACTGAGACAACCAACGTTCAAATATTAGACAGAGGAAACAACAAGAATGCTAGAGAATTTTAAGAAGCCAGCCTGATATTCCATTGAATCATCAATCCATAGACACATTGAGATAGACCAAATTTATCAACCGATAAGAAAGAAACCTCACACACACACACACAAAGGGTCAAATTTCAGGTCAACGAAACAATCATTTCCAATACAAGTAGTTCAGAGGGTTTGGAAACACACCAAAATAACCAATCACGTTCAAAGTCAGGTCACCGGGAGAGATAATTAATAAACTCGTGGAGAAATCTAAAAGTTCACTTCAACAAGTTGAAGTATTCGCTGAAGATGTCGCCTAGCAGGGCGATGAAAGCTTCGCGAATTAACTCATCCAGCGCTCAGAATACACAACCATATCAAAATCATCCACCTGAGCTACAAATCTTCTCTATCATATCTATAGCTAACCTTTATTTTCCACTTTCAATGCCCATGGCTCACATCCATAAAGGAGGACGGAGCAAACCTGTGTGTGTGGACCCAACCGGTTACGACTTATTCCAATTCCAGGAAGTTCATCGTATAATCAGCCACTAGTGGATGGTAGATTGATTTTCAACGTTTTCAACGGTCTCCTGACCCCAACCAAAATGCTCAGTCTTCTACACACTGTCAGATCAGAAATCTTAGTATCTTTGACACGCGGTCTGCACCTGTCAAATGTAACCTGGTGTTACAGACTACTAAGTCACTGGTCTACAAGCTCACCTTGTGACCAGAAAGTCGTGAGTCTAGACCTCAGTTCGATGGGTCTGAACTGATGAAGAGCCCCGAACTAGAACGAAACAGCTGCTCAGTCCCCTAAGGTTTTCCAGTGGTCCTCTAATCGATGTCATTTCATGATGGAATCCTGAAACCAATAAAGTTTTGTAGAGAAAACAAACAAACAGCCAATGTAATACAGCAGAAATCGAGGAAACCATCTCAACCGAAAGATGCAGAGATTATTTACATAAACCCATTTGAATAATAATTTCGGTTTCTAAATGAAATTATGGTGTTGAATTTCCACATCCTCGAACT